TTTTTTTTTTTTAATTCATGTTTGTGACTCAAAATTTACATTCACTGTGGGTAATTGGTACATGTACGTGGCCTGTCCTAAATGCTGAGGTCCCCACAATAGATAGGCGTATACATTTGCTTGACCTTAGAGTGTGTGTACACGTGTGCGTGTGCACACGTGTACAGGGATGGAGCCCAGCACCTCTTAGGTGCTAGTCAAGCGCTCCACCACTGAGCTGTACCCGTAGCCTGAGTGGTTTCTGCAGTGGTGCATTTCCATTGGGCCATGATTCTGTGACTGGTGACCTGTTTGGAGGAGCCAAATGAGAGCTCTAGCAGTTTCACGCTGTGTGAGGTCTGGGTTTGTCTGGGTGACAGCATGGCTCAAGTCCCTGTGGGACCCTGCTGGGAGTCCCCGTGACAGCATATCACCTAGCAGGGCATGTAAGTGTCTTCTTGCATAGTGGTCTTGTGACTTTCATTTACTCTCACCAAGTGGCTTGGAACAGGAGTTTGTAGAACTTGAGGAAGTAGGGAGTCAGCTGATACTCATTTCCATTTACTTCTTCCTAGCCAGTCAGAAGTCCAGAGAGAAGAGATCGGAAAGCATCAGCTAACGCTCGGAAGAGGAAGCATTCTCCTTCGCCTCCCCCTCCTACACCCACAGAATCACGGAAGAAAAGTGGCAAAAAGGGGTAAGAACTGCGGCACAACTCAGAAGACAGCAAAACCTCCCCAGGGCTTGGAGACATTTTACATTTACTTTGGAAGTTTCACTGACTGACTGAAGTCAGACTTGGACTAGTTGAGTTTTTGATAGTTTATACTTGTGGACTATTGTATTTAAAGCATTTTATGTTGTATTTATCCAAAGGCACTTTGAAGAGTGTTATTTCTGTAGGTCAGTATGCACTGAGAAATCTAACTGGTAAAAGGTTTCCCATACTTAAAATGTCTCTCATGTGACTTGTGCAGTTTGATCAGACTGACTTACAGAACTCGTAGCTATTACATGTTCTGCACAGTGCGATGGCATGGTCTTTGCTCAGACCAGTATTCTCTGCTTTGCTGGACTGAGAGTTGTGGTTCCTCCTGAGTGGGTTGCAGTAGGGCTTGAATGAGACTTATTCAAACCCTTCTACAATGCCTGATCTGAAATGTGTACTTTTATTTTTTGGTTCTGGGGATCGAACTTAGGACCATCAAACCCTTCTACTGCCTGATCTGAAATGTGTACTTTTATTTTTTTGGTTCTGGGGATCGAACTTAGGACCTTGTGCTTGCAAGGCAGGTATGGTATCACTGAGCTAAATCCTTGGCCCAGAAATGTATACTTACTTGTGATAGATTATGCTTAAGAATTTATTACATATTAAATAAAATTTCAGGTTTGTCTGTCTCAGAGTATTTTTATATAATTTTGCAAAAGTTGTGGTTTTGTCTTAGAAAATAAGAGTTTGCAAAAATTATTTTTCTTTAAGCATGTGTTGAGAAATTTATTTTCATATGATAAACTTTGATTTCTAGCTAGCTGGATTGTAATGATCTACTTGACATCTTGCATTCAGTTAGCTTCCTTATGTAGACTTTTCTCTCTAGCAAATTGTCATTTGCTTTTCTTGAACATATCTTGAATTGTGTTATTTCCTGAAGGGTAAGGTTATCAGAAGCACATTTTTATTTTTATGTTTTTGTTATTTGAGATGGGGGTGCACCTCAGAGCTTCACATATGATATAGGAGCACTCAGTCCCTGAGCTGTGCAGACAATAATTACGTATACAAAGCTTTAGAGGAACATAAAAAACAAAACAACAAATTCTTACCTTCATATTCAACATTAAAGAACCAGTAGTAATCCTAAGTTAGATTTTGTTATTTCTGTTAAACGACATGTATTGTGACATCAAAGTTTAAAACTTTAAAAGTGGCTTTTCCTCTTTAAGTTTCTAACTGAATCTGATGTTCAGATTTTAGAGCTCCCTGAGATCTTTGTGAGGAATGGTTTCAAAATTATTGAGCTGACTTGGACACCAGCGCAGCTAGTATTTGTTGGATTGAGATGTAATATGCAGGAGACTCCCCAGGGTGGCCTTTACCTGTGACCCTGAGTATGAAGCCTGCTAAATTGAGTTTTCTTGAGTATACATCTGCTTTTTCAGCCCTGTACTTAGGGATTGAATCCAGGGCCTCATGTATTCACAGCTGTACTTTTACTGGACATTTACCTTTGATGGACAGGACTTTTCTCATTTTCAATTTTTCCTGAGCTCAGGAGAGCTTAGAGGTAGAGCGTATACTTAGCATGCTTGTGCCCATGGGTTAATCTCCAGCATCAGGAAAAAAACATTTTATTTCTTTATTTTAATTAACTTTTTATTACTACATGTTTGCAGTAGGTATAACTTACAGCCCTTAAAAAAAAAATCCTTCCCCTCGCCCCTTCTAATTCCCCTACCTCAGTTTTCATTCTTGTTGAGATTATTAGTCTTAGTTCATGTTATGCACATAATGTTTATATTCATTGAGGTTATAGGTTCCTGTACATGGTACACCTTTATTTGACTTGCTTCCCCTTCCCCCTTCCTCCTCTTGCCCTTGTTCCCTTGGACTGCTTCCCTACTGGGAGAGATCCATTCCCTTGTCCATCTTGTTTTTGGTACCGGGGATCGAACTCAGGACCTTGCGCTTGCAAGGCAGGCAGCAGAACCACTGAGCTAAATCCTTGCCCCATCCTTTCTATTCTCACTGATTGTACTTTGCCTCACTCAAGTGAGAGATACTGTATAGTACTTAATTTCCTATTTAACAAGAGCATAGGGAAATCTGTTTTTCTAATCTTAGTTTTATTCATCTTCCCTGCATTTTTTCCTCTCTGGGCCAGGGATTTAGCTCAGTGCTGCCGCCACCTGCATCGCAAGTGCAAGGTCTAGAATTCGATCCCTGGTACCCACCCCGCAAAAAATTTACCTCCCTGAAACCTTTGTGTGCTTTTAAAAATCATCCTGGAGTTGGTGATTTAGCTCAGTGGTTGCACTGCCTGCCTTGCAAGCACAAGGTCCCAAGTTTGATCCCTGGTACCAAAACAAACAAACAAACAAAAATCATCCTGTAATTTTTATTTTGGAAAAAACTTTACTTTATGTACTTCACTCTTACCCATAGCAGCTTGTTGTTCTTTAAAGAGATCTCTTAGGATTGTCTGTGCAGTATGGGGCTTGACTGGCCTAGCATGCTGCCTCAGTTAGCTTTTTCTCCATTCCCATTTGTATACATCAGTGCTGCGCTCGCTTCAGAAGCACGTATCCTAAAATTGTATTCATCAGTGCACTCTAGGTTACTATTATGACTCCAAACAAGTTACTTTTTGCTTATGCCTCCCACCCACCCTATTGAACCCAGGGCCTCATGCATGGTAGGCAGGCATTCTACTACTGAGCTCCATCCCTAGTTCTTTTTATTTATTATTTTGAAATAAGGTCTTGCAAAGTTGCTCACGCTGGGCCTTGAATTGGAATCCTCTTTCCTCAGCCTCTGAGACACTAGGATTACAGGTGTGAACCACCTTGCTAAGGTTAGCTATCCTTTCTTGTTTTTCCTGAAATATTGTCTAATTCTTTGCAAATTCTCTCAATTTGTAAAGATTTAGCACACCTCTTAGTCCTTCCTAATTCTTTCTCTTTAATGTATTTTTCTTTCCTCTGTGAGGTATTTTTAAACCTTTATTCACTTTATTTTTCATGTTTGTTGTATTCCTTTGTATTGTTACACATCACATTACAAGAGATAAGTAATGCTTTTTGGCCAGTATCCCTTACTATTCTTTTTTTTTTTTGGTACTGGGGATCGAACTTGGGTCCTTGTGCCTGCGAGGCAGGCGGTGGAACCACTGAGCTAAATCCCCAAGCCCTCCCTTACTATTCTTTTTTTTTGGTACTGGAGATTGGACTCTGGTCCTTGCGCTTGCAAGGCAGACCACTGAACCGCTGAGCTAAATCCCTGGTCCAACCCTTACTATTCTTAAAAACAAGTCATTCCCATTTTTGTTGAGTCCATTTAAGACATATTAATTTTAAAGATAAATAATGGTTTGTTTTAATTCTCAGAGAAAAGACAATGCAATATTTATAAAAGAGAATAAGTACTACACTGATATCACTTTGTAATTTGTGATACCTGTTAAAAAGAGCCAGGAAAACACAGCTGTCTATATCTTTGAGAGATTGTGCTGTTTCCTTAACAAGTATTCTTTTATTAGCTTAATTTAAGCTCCCTTCAAGGTATTGTATAATTTGAATGGTAGGATTTCTGTCCTCTTTTTTTGTTTGTTTGTTTGTTTGGTACTGGGGATGAAACTCAGGACCTTCTACTTTTGAGGCCAGCAGTGGCACCACTGAGCTAAATTCCCAGCTTGGGCTTGTTTACTATTTTCATACAGGGTCTTTGTGTGTAGTTTAGGCTGGTGTTAAACTCACTGGCTGGCTGAACTCATGGTAGTCCTCTTGCTTCAGCCTCCCTAGTGTGTGTGTCACCATGCCTGGATCATCTGTGTAGGTTTGTTTTTCTTTTTTCTTTTTCTAAAAGATAAGTAATACCATTTTATTTATTTCGGAAACAACTCCTTCATATAATGCCTGAACCCAAAGGCACATTAAGAATGGGCCCAAATATCTTTAAATAGTAGGTTTGAAGTCATTGTAGTTTCTTCTTTGTAACATGAACGCTTTTAGCTGGACAGTAACTGCAAGTTGAATGGAGTCATTTAAGGCAGAACTGAGCTGGGCTGCACTGGCGCCTGCCTTTGTAGAGGTTTATTAAACCCAAAAGCTTTTTTGTCTTTTTTAGCTGTTTATAGAGTTCCTTTGAGGAATGTGTCTAATTTGGCTACTACTTGGCTTCAAAAGTGACTCTGAGGGCCAGGGATTTAGCTCAGCAGTTCGGTGTGGCCTGCCTTGCCAAGTGCAAGGAGCCGAGTTCAATCCCCGGTACCAAAAATAAACAAACAAAAAAGTGACTCTGGATGTAGATAATAACAATAATGAAGATAGCAATCGGAAATTGTTTGCTGTATTTAGCTATATTAGTCTCCTTTTAATCTTATGTGTTTTGTCTGTTGTAGCCAAACTAGTCTTTATGGGAAGCGCAGAAGTCAGAAAGAGGAAGATGAGCAAGAGGATCTTACCAAGGACATGGAGGACCCCACACCAGTACCCAATATAGAGGAAGTAGTGCTCCCTAAGAACGGTTTGTATTCTTCATGGGAATGCTACTGATCATTTCATCTGGGCATAACTTTTGTTTTTTGATACTGGGGATCGAACTCAGGACCGTGTGCTTTTGAGGCAGTCGGCAGAACCACTTAGCATATCCCTGGCCCTTATGGTTTCTTTTTAATTGACCACTCATATGTGTCCTTAGTGAGCCTGTAATAAAATTTTTAGAAATAAAATCCGCTATACTCCAGAAGTAGAAGACACATGACAGGCATTTCATTTATTTGTCCCTCTCCACCACCCACCTTTTTCTTTCTTTCTTTCTTTTTTGGTGGGAGGGGATCGAACTCGGGTCCTTGCACTTGCAAGGCAAGCTGCAGAACCACTGAGCTCAATCCCCAGCCCCGCCACCACCCATCTTTATGGTGAGGGTGGCTTCTAGGGAAGGACCACACAGTTTTATAGTTCTCCTGCAGATCATCCAACTCTGTAATGCAGAATTTCTTCAGTGGCTAGAAATAACGTGAAGTAGAAATGAAGTCATTAAAGTTAATAATTGTTTTTGGAGTTTTTTTTTTTAACTATTGTAAAAAAGTTACAGGAAAAGTTAGAACTTTATCTGGTTATCAGAAGTCAAATTACAGTTTTTTTCAAATGTGGTCTAAAATTAAGTCCTTGAACTGAGTTACTCTCACGCATCTCTTAACCTTTTGTATTTCTTTCTATGGGCAATAAAAATTGAAAAACTTAAAAAATAAGAATGTAAGATTTAGATAAAGCTATGTACAATGCATATAACTATCTAATCTAAATTTTATGCAAGGACAGAAAATCTAGGAAAACAGTACCATTAGACTCAAGAATTGTGGAGAAAATTTAAAGTATAAGAAGCTTTTTGGATCTGAATAGTACAAGAATAGGATACATTTCAAAATATGAGGCATTTGCAGAAGAAAATAAGAGAAGATTGAAGGGATAAGGAGACTCTGAAAACAGTACATGAAAAGTGACACGAGATGGAGTGCTGGTACTTTGGCTCTCTGCATGTTTGTGTGTGGCTCAGTGGTCGAGCACTGGCCCTGCACACAGGAGGCCTCCTTGAGGTGCACTGGTCCCATTCATAAGGGTTCTGTCCTCATGGACCCCTTACCTTTCAAGGCCCCACCTGCAAATGCCATCGTATTAGATGGGCTTTCAACGAATGATTTTTGGGGAGACAAATATTCAATCCATTAATGTGTCTAGCATAGAAAATCTGTTCAAAATGACTCATCTAGTTCAACTAAAAATACAAGAAGTTTACCAGAATATAATTTGATTCATGCCTTTTCCCATCTTTTGATGTTTATGTGTATTTTGTTTCACCTGCATTACCATCCTGACAACATGTCTTTTTTTCATTATTCCTTTTTCTTTTAAGCAGTCAGTTGTGCGAGGCATGATGGCACTAGGTTAGGCTGAGGCAAGACAGTGCACAAGTATGAGGCCAGCCTGGATTGAATAGTGAATTCAGGGCCAGCCTGTACGACAAAGTAAGACCCTGTCTCAAAATACAAACAACAACAAAAGTCCACTCAGTTGTATTTTTAGGACTTCAGATACAGAAACGTAGCCATTTCTTTCAAAACATTGATTCTAAAAATCATTTTATTATAAAAAGTTAGGCAATAAAAACTTGCCGTTTACCAGTATATTTTTAAGTTGATTTGACAGAGGAAAAAAAAATGTATAAAAGTAGTCAAAAGATTTAAGTGAAAGAGATGTGAATGCGATGGTACCCCAACAGGTAATTATTTATACTGGGAGTCTGTGGCGACGGTTCATGAATTCGCTTTTGACACAGAAATGGCTGAATCAACCGTTGTTGTAGAATGGCCACTTCTAAAACTGATCCATGTTTCTTCATGAATGTCATTTGTGATGAATTTGGCATCACACATTCCTGGAAAAGATCAGACTGTTCCATAAATACTTAATACATTTGCCAGCTATGGTGGTGCATACCTGTTATCCCAGTTCTTGGGAGGCTGAAGGAGGATTGTTGTGAGTTCGATGCTGGCCTGAAATACATAGCAAGGCTATCTCAAAAAACAAAAATACCCAGTATATTCAGTATTCCTGTCTGTATCATATATTCAAATTTAAACTTTGTGAATAAAAAACTGTAAAATGAAACTTCAAATCCTGATACAGTTTAAATATATACTAGCCTAGCAGAAAATATTCACTTAAGTAAATCACTAGAATATTAAATATATGTAAGTCAGAGTCTTACCTACCAGTAATTTATCACAAATACAGAGCCCGTCGGTATGTGAATAAATGGCTAACTTCACTGAACCAAGATGGTTTTCAAAGCTTAAAAGGTGACTAAAAAAGTGTAAATGTTTTTAGAACATGGCTGCTCTCTTGTGCTCCTGGTGGAAGTCTGAATTGATGGGGACACCTCTTAGCACAGTTTTGGCTGTATCTATTAAATTTCAAAATGTGTACATTTTATCATACAAGTTTTTGTTTTCATGGGTAACTATATGCACAGACAAAAATAATGCTTTTTATTGAATTAGTGAATTGCTGAAGATTACTTGCCTTCCGTGTAGGGCTGGTTAACTTACGGTCTGCTCATGGGCATAGTGGACATGAAATAATGAAGGAGTTACAGTTCAGACTCTGTTCTTAAGTGATCACAGAGGCATACTGTTACACGAGACAAAGCAAGTGTGAAGGAATAAGCATGGTGTGGATAACATGAATGTTATATCTACAAGTTAAAAAAACAGCATTATTTTTGCCATCTTTGTGGGTATGTAAAGGATATTAGATATTCAGTTGATATGTCCGAATAAATTAATGGGACAGAAATGGCAATCAGATGCACAAAAAAACTTCGGGGAAGAAACAAATTCCTTTTGTGCTTTCATGTGAATAGATCTATATAATGGAAATACATTGCTGCTTGAGTAAGTAGAGAATGTAGTCTCTTAAATGTTCATGTTTTACACCCGGGCTTGTGGTTTTTACAGGGAGGTGAGTAGTGAGTTATGCTGGAGTCACAGTAAGATGTATGTAGTTTCTGATCATGTTTCCTGGTTTCTTGCTAAAAATAAGCACACTTTTGTTTTGTCTTCTAGTAAACCCAAAGAAAGATAGTGAAAATACACCCGTTAAAGGAGGAACTGTGGCAGATCTAGGTAAACACAATACCCAGTTGTCTTATTTTGTCTATTGATCATCTTTTTTTACTGAGAACTGTTCTATGCTTACCCCCACCAGATCCTGCAGCTATCTTCAGAACCATCACAATTCTGTTGCTACTGTGTTAACAAAGTTAATTTCCTATGATCTGTTGTTTTCATTCTCATTAAACTCTCCCTCAGGGAGCAGTGTTTTTCTACAAATTAACACATTGGTAATGTTTTACTTAAACTTGAATATCTGAGTTTTATACTAATTAAAGTACTTTTGCAGTCTCCCTGAAATACTTGTTTTATAATATACATGAAGATTTTGAATCTGTGGTCTGTTTTTTGGTTTGGTTTGGTTTGGTGAGATTTGTTTGTTTGTTTCTTTTGGCATGGGGATTGAAATTGGGTCCTTGCGCTTGTGAGGCAGGTAGCGGTACCACTGAGCCAAATCACTGGCCTTGTTTTTTGTTGTTGTTTGGTTGGTTGTTTTTGTTTGTTTGTTTGTTTGTTTTGCACCAGGGATCGAACTCAGGTCTTTGCACTTGCAGGGTAGGCAGTGGAACCACTGAGCTAAATCCCCAGCTCCTTGTTGTGTCTTTTGAGACAATGTCTTGCCATGCAGCTCAGGCTGGCCTCAAACTCTTGGTGATGTTCCTGCCTCAGCCTCCTGAGTGTTGGAACTACAGGTGTGCTCCACCATGCACGCTTGAATTTGAATTTTTAAAACCAAAATCTTTTTGCTGTTAACACTTTGTAAGCCAAATTGTTATGCTTAAGCAGTGTAAAGTGAGAAAGACATTCTCCTTTTAAAGTTCAGCATCCGTGGGGGACTGGCTTCATGACAACTGTGAATATCAAAATTCTTGGATCCTATGTCCTCTGACATAGAGGGCTGGGGATTTAGCTCAGTAGTGCCCTGCCTACCTTTCAAGCCCAAGGTCCTGAGTTTGATCCCTGGTATCTCCCCTCCCCCACACAAAAAAAAGAGGACTCAGAATTTCTTACACTCTGCACATCTGCCATATACTTTAAGTCATTTTAGATGGATTACTTACCTAACACAATACCATGTATGTAAGCTACACTATATTGCATACCTTATGTACTCTATGACCTGAAAATACAGTAGGCTTTTTGTTTTTCTTTCTCTCTCTCTTTCTTTCTTTCTTTCTTTCTTTCTTTCTTTCTTTCTTTCTTTCTTTTTCTTTTTTTTTGCACATTTGTAATTCATGCAGATAGTAGACCTTCTTTACCCAAGGGTTCTACATACAGGGATTCAGTCAGCCATAGATAGTAAAGACATTTTTTTAAAATTTTTGTGTGAGCTGGTGATGTAGCTTAGTGGCACCACACCTGCATTACAAGTGCAAGCGCCTGAGTTTGATCCCCAGTACCAAAAAAACAGTTTTTAGTGAAGATGTACAGATTTCTGCTTTCTCATCCCTCAGCCTCCAGATGGGTATAACTCTGCATCCATTTTGCGTTGCATTGATTCTCAATGAGCAGATAGGATTGGGTGTTTGGAAGTGTTTTTCTACTTTTATTAAATGCACATGTCTATAACCCTAGCTGCTTGGGAGTCTGAGGCAGGATGATTGCAAATTTGAGGCTACCTTGGCAACTTAGTAAGTCCTGCTCTCAAAATATAAAAACAGCTGGAGACGCAGCTCATAGATAGAGTGCTTCCGTAGTGTATCTAAGGCCCTGGGCACTGTGCCCAGAACTGTAGTGAATAAATATATACATAAATACATCCTGCGTTTCTGTATTTCCTGGCTTATGCAACAGCAGTGTGTGTTGGTGGGTGATTTTATTTTTATGTCTTGATGACAGTATAAAGGAGGCGTTATGTAAACAAGAAAGAAGTACCATCAAAACCTTTCTTGTTTCAACATCATTAATGGAATCTAGATCTTGAATAGCCTTTAATTATTTATATTATCTATAAATTTATGTTGCCTATTCTATAATCATACTTAGGTACTGAATCTGTGGCAGAGCAAATGTTAATTATATGCTGTCTTCTATTCCCAGTAAACTGACAGAGTAAAAGATTAAAACTTGATACTATACCCTGGGACGGTTTGCTAAACAAAGTGACAGTTTAAATAATGTAGAGATGGTTTTTGAAAAGGAATCAATCTGTAATTTGAGTAGAGTAGAAAATGTCAGTATAACTGAGGTAATCAGTGGAGTTAAATGGAAGAGAATTTTAGAAAAGGTTTAGGGAGCCCAGCTAGAAGAAAGTTTTTAGTGGTAAGTATAAAAGGATGCTCCTTGTCTAGTTATTAACTTAACTTTTTTGAGGGGGGGATACCCAGGATCGAACTTAGTTCCTTGTGCTTGCACTCTGGCCTTATTTACTTAATTTTTTCACCTTTGTTTTATTCACTCATTTATGTGGCAGTAGCCTTGTGGCTAAAGATGCTGTTTGGTCACGGCCAGAGCATTAGGGTCTTTGAATTTGAAATTGTTATCCTGGGCTTTCATCTTGGCCTTTGGCTGGGGCAGGAGGATTGGGAATTCCAGGTCAGTGTGGGCTGCACTGTGAGACCCAGGACTCATGTCCCCATTAGAAAAGAAAAGAGAAAGAGAACATTAATTGACTGTTAACCTTTTCAGAAGAGGGTGTCCCTCCCATTGATATGTTATCAGTTTCCAGCAGATACTGAGACTACCTTAGGGACAAAAACCTCATTACATTTGAAATGTGTTTTGGAATAAGGAGAGATGCTTAAGTTGTAAGAAACTGGTCACAGAATGTACTTTCCCAGCAGTGTAATTGCAGCGTTTCTGTCAAGCAGCCTGGCAGCTGTCCACGCTGAAGACTCAGCTCTGGTCCAGATGTCACGAGGTTTCATTGCTGATCTGGACATCGTAGGTAGCCTGTGCTACCTGTGTATACCGAAATCCCAGGTTCTCAGGAGGGCGAGCGTTCGTTTAGTCGTCTTGTCTGCGTGAACACAGACACAGCAAGCCTACCTTTCTTAACAGATAATTATTGATTAGAACCATAAAATATCAAAGGCATTTCATATGTAATCATTTGTTCCATAACCTCATGCTCTTTCTACATTGCCACTTTTGCTTTTCACTATGGAAATCAGCTTCCTCATTTACATTTTATGTAGGTTTTCTCTTATTCTTATGTAAGAGTAGAATTTGGGTCTTAGAATTCCCTATCCTCACAAGGTAGTCACAGTCTTACTAGGTCTTACTAGGATTCATTTCATTCCTTCTTCCATTCCTCCCTCTGCCTGTTTTTCTTTACTCTTACATTTGGGTCTTAGAATTCCCTATCCTCACAAGGTAGTCACAGTCTTACTAGGATTCATTTCATTCCTTCTTCCATTCCTCCCTCTGCCTGTTTTTCTTTACTCTTTCTTTGTTAGCTTCCTCAGAAATCCGAAAAATTGCTGTTTCATCAATTCTTAGAAAACAAAAGGCCCTGTCAAGTCTCTTACCTGTTGTTAAGGAAGTTTACCACTATGATATTAGCTAAATATAATAACTTCTTGCAAATTTTACATTACTTATACTTTGAATTTCTCTATTTCTGTGTAAAATTACAGTTTACTAGGATGTTCAGAGTGCTGAGCTTTAATAGTGCTAGAGTTCATTACTCTTTGTCCATCATCGGCGTTTAGACTGGAGAGACTTGAGATAATCTACACAGCATTTGCTTGTTTCTAAATCACATGTTTTGATTTTGCAGATGAACAGGATGAAGAAACAGTCACAGCAGGAGGAAAGGTAAATATTTAGGCCTGGTAGAAGAAGACATTCTTTACCGTCCTATATACTGAGCAGAAATACTAAATTAGAAGAGGCCCTTTTTTGTGGGTTTTTTTTTGTTGTTGTTGTTTTATTTTTTTGTACGGGGGATCAAGCTTGGGACCGTGTGCGTGCAAGGCAGGCAGCAGAACCACTGATCTAAATCCCTGGCCCCAGAAGAGGCCCTTTTGGTTTGAAATCCACTCCCCCCCCAGGCAGTCCTCCTGCTTTCGCTTCCTGGGTAGCTGGAACTGCAGGTATAAGCCACCATGTGCCTGGCTGAATTTTCTGTTTAATATTCTCCCAGGATAGTTGTCTTCCCTTAGTCCCTAAAATTTTATTCAGAGGAATCTTATTGTCTTCTCAGGTAATGTCCCTCCAGTGGTATGGTTTCTGGTTCCATGGTCCCTCGGTGGAAGCTGACCACACTGTTCAGGTGTTGAACAGTGCAGATGAGCTGGCCTTGATTTTTCTTGCCCTTTTTTGGGGCGGATACTGGGGATCAAACTAGGGACCTTGCTCTTGTGAAGCAGGTGTCAAAACCACTGAGCTAAATCCCTGGCCTTGCTTTTTTATTGGCATGACTTTAATCCACAGCTAACATAGACTTTGAATTATGCTCCTGACCTTTCCTGAGTATTTTATTCACTTCTCATTTCATCAGTTTTGCTTTACAAGATCCACCAATCATCATGTTGTCAGACGTGTTTGATTTAAGGCAGGGATTGACTTTTAACTTTTTTTTTTCTGGCGGTACTAGAGATCGATCTCGGGACCTTGTACTTGTGAGACAGGCACAGTGCCACTGAGCTAAATCCCTGGCCCTACTTTTACTTCTTTGGAATAATTTCCCCATTGTTTCAGTCAGGCAGTCATGGTCAGCTGTGTTAAGTGTAATTGATCCCTGGCTTTCTTGTAATAACTTCTTCAGTATGCTTTGGAGATTGCTTTTCTTTCTCTCTTTGTCATAGGAATGCCACAGACTGACATTAACAGTGTTCCTTATATATTCAGGGAGTGAACATAAATTTCTAGGGAAAATACTTCACCAAATTCTTACACGTATTTTTCTTCTCTGGTGTTATGGTTTTTTTTTCTCCTGTAAAATCAAACTGCTTTAGCTAAAAAGCTACTCATTAATAAACATAACTTTTATAAAAAGATGTCATTATACAGAGCAAATGGAGAGAAAATAAACAGGCAAAAGAACCAGTATAAGATTTTTTTTTTGAATGCCAAAGATAAAGAGATTTGAATCCATATACAAGTCATAATGTTGTGTAACCTGAAGAGTTGGAGGTACTTTTCTAGTGTCCTATTCTACAGTACTTTCAGTCTTCCTTCCCCCCCCCACCCCCCAGTACCGGAGACCAAACTCAGGACCTTGTGCTTGCCAGGCAGGTACAGCAGGACTGAGCTAAAGCTAAATACCTTGTCCAATTTTTCCTTTTCATAAGATTAAGAAGGGTAAGAAGGCCACAGTTGAAAGATTAGTAGGTTTAACTCTGGATGTCAAAAACTTCCCAGGCACAGTGGCCTACACACAATCTCAGCTACTCCAAAGGCAGGGGCAGGGTGGTCTCAAATTGAGGTTATCCTGGGAAATTTAGCCAAGAACCTGTCTGAAAATAAAATTAAAGACCTAGGGATTTACCTGGTTGTTGAAGTGCTTGCCTAGCATAGTCAAAGTCCTGGGTTCAATCTTTAGAACCACTATTTGAAACAAAAAACCCCAAAACTGCACTGCTTTTTATAGTATTTCTGAGTTTTAAAAAGCTAATTATGAAGAATCAGTCACATACTTTAAAATACTTTTTAAAAAATTTTTCAGACAGTGTCTTGCTGTATATTTCAGGCTGGTCTTAGAACTCGTGGTCCTCCTACCTCAGCCTCCTCAAGGCTGGAATTACAAGCATGTGCCACCACACCTGGCTAAGACTTTTACGATATTCTGAGATGATTGGTCTAGATTTGTTAAAATATTTAATGTTATGAAATGCCCAAGAAGGGAGACAGATTTAAAAAAAATTCATGTTACGTATGGTATTCTCATTTTTAAAGTTTTGAATCAAGAAGGAAACTTTTGGGACTATTGAACGAAACTATTTGAATGTAAATTCTAGTTAACGTTATTTAAGAGCAGTTATTGGCTTCAATCACGTGGTGGCTTGACTCAATAAATGAATTTTTAATTACTGTATTAGCAAAGCAAAAATTTTAGACAGTAACATCTTCCAAGATTGCCTTGAGTCAAATAAAAATTAGAAATCATTTTTAGTAATTGAAGCGCTTAGGCCCTCAGCTGGGCTTCCTAATTTTGTGTTCTATTTATACTTTATTCATTTTGTGGATCATTTCTCCCCCATAGATTGTATGGTTGTAAGGAATAAATGAGTAGTGTGGGAAAGTCTTGTAGTACCCTTGACCTTCTCATAGATGACCCGAGGAGCAGTAATTTAGGTTTGTGGTCTGGGATTAGGAAAAAGGTGGTTATTGTAGAAAGATTTGAACTGTAAAGCTGAATTCTTGATTATAGAAACAGGCTTTTTTCAATTAATTTGCTAATTAATCTTATGAGATACTTGTTTTTGGTTCCTTCACTTGTAAAAAAATAAAGTCTACCTCGACCAGCCAGCTGCTTTGTACCTTAAAGCCGTAAAATATCTTTAAAATGTTTTTGGTCCCTGCAATTGAATCACCTAGCCCTGTTTTATCTGATCTACTATCGGAAGTGTTACATTTCCATCTCTGTAATACTTTCTCTGAAGTTTGACTTCTCTTCTGTAGGAAGATGAAGACCCTAGCAAAGGTGATCAGGGTCGGTCAGTTGACCCTGGTGAAGATAATGTCACGGAGCAGACCAATCACATTATTATTCCCAGCTACGCCTCATGGTTTGATTATAACTGGTAAGTGGGCCTCTCCCCTCAAAGCGGGGAACTGAGTCCTGAGCCCTGCCCTTTAAACCAGCTTAAGCCATGCTGCCTGTGTCCCGTGTCAGATGGAGGTGATTTGTGTCTTTGGAATATCTTCTCAAATTATTCAAGGACAAAAGTTGTTGTAATATAGGGTTGAAATTTTTTCTAATGTTTAGCTCAAATCATTTAGCTTTAACTGTAATTGAGAGACAAATGCTTGAATAGTTAAAATTACAAAATGTCGATGTTTTTATTGTATGATGTTTTAGAATGTTAAATGTACTACCCAGAAGTCACTTTCATTACTCAGTAATTTCCTGTTTCTATTCCCTCTTGCTTGTTTCCTTCCTTCCTTCTGTCCTTAGTACTGTGAGTTGAACCCAGGACCTTTGCACTCCTTTTCCACTCCCCAACTTTTTTGGAACAGGGTCTCACCTAAGTTGCCTGGTCTGGGTTTGAATTTGTAATCCTGGAGGTTGAGCCTCTCACAGGTGTGTGCCACCACATCATGGTTCTTTTTTGGTACCAGGGATTGAAACCAGGTCCTTGTGCTCGCGAGGCAGGCGGCGGAACCACTGAGCTAATCCCCAGCTCTTTTTCTCCTGCTCTTAGTGACTGTTTGCCGTGTTTTCATTCTTTAATGATAGATGCTATTTTAAATATTACCTATATGTGTCTAGAAGTCTTTTAAATGTTATTTACGTACTTATTTTTTATTGTGCTAAGTATCAAACCCAGGGCATCAGGCTGCCTAGCCAAACATTCTACCATTGAGCTATACCCTCTGCAAGACAATTGAAAAGAATATAGTAGATGATTCACTAGAGCTATTAGCTTATTTTTGTCTGTCTCAAATACCAAGAACTTTCTACATGCCTTTAAAACTGAGTGGTATTGCAAGTGGTTTCATTAATGTAAGCTGGGATATAGTAGATACAAGTTCTTTGAAAATCATTTTTCATTATATTTACATTTAAATTTTCTTTTAATTCAGAAAGTATTGTTATTTGCAATTACTTGTTTTAACTGTCAAAATTTTTTATGCCTATATTTTTGGTTTTCGTAATATCGTATTTATGCAATTAGGTGAAAATGTTTCATAACTTACTCTGGTTTTTCTTTCATTAAAGAATCCTAATTAATGTATGACATAATTTGCTTAGCAATAATTTGCTTTTTAAAACATTCTGCCTTTAGGTGCTTTTGCTAAATGATTTATTTTTTCATACTGGGGATTGATCTTGGGCCCTTGTGCTTGTGAGGCAGTTAGCCCAACCTCTGACCCAAAGCTCCAGCTATTTTTATTCCAAAGTAGTACTACATTAAATTGACCAACTGTAGGAACACACTATTAGAATAGTTCAAGATTACTTGTGTGAAAAACCATTGTGCTTTTGCTCTAAAATTAGAAAAAGGAAAAGTTATAGTACTATGTAGGATTTTATAAGTTACATAAACACTTTGATCTGTGTGATCACTTTTGCATGTCACAGCGTCTGTTGTGAGATTGGTAGTGAGGTGTGAGTCACATGCATGGAACTGTTTTATGAAGGAGGTTAGCGCCACCTTGAAGCAAGTGTTCAAGTTTCAGAGTTGTTAATTGGAGGTACTTACAGTCTCTTACTCTCATCCTACTTACTTCTTCCACTATTTGTACTTGCTAAATGTGGCTTATTCTGAGGAATTCACCGTGAGCACTTCAGAGCTTTTGAAAAAATACTTGGTAATAGAAATTCTTGTGTGCTTTTACTGTTGCTGAGTAAAGAAATGGTTTTTGGAGGGCTTCTGCAAACGTATAATAAAGAAAACGATAGGAGTTATGTTAGAACTACAGTGTGTTATTATTGCTTATAACTAATATTAAGCTTAAAGTAATTATATATAGGTCTACATAGCATTAGTTTGTCTTAGAGATTGTCCTTATGGTTTTCTTATATTTCAAATTACTTACAGTATTCGGTGGTAAAATCCAGTTCAGTTTCAGTGTTATTCAAGAGATTAAAGAGGAATAGTGTGTCATTACAGCGTCTGCAGGGGATTGGTTGTGGCATGTGCCACTTGACTAGAACCCTCAGGTGCCCAACTAATACAGGAATTGCACATGGAGCTCCAGCCCCCTCCCTTTTTTATTGGTAGTACCAGGGGTCAAACTCAGCACCTTGCACTTGTGGGTCAGGCGGTGATGTCATTGAGCTATATCCCTGGCCCCAGCCCTTGTTTTAAATTTTCTGAGTGTGTGCTTGGTTGAATCTGCTGATGGGGAGAACTCAAAGAGATGGAAAGTTCACTTTGTAGACCAGTGTTTTTTCTCAGATCTTTTCTTTGTAACTAGTACTCAGCATGTGCTGAATGCCTTCTCAGAAACTAAAGTGACCCCAGGAAAAAGCTTCAGTACTACATGAGTCATTATGTAGCCGGGTGGGTGTGGTAGGGCACACTTGTAATCCCAGCTCTCAGGAGGCTGAGGCCAGAGAGTTGCTGGGCATTCAAGGTCAGCCTGGCCTACATAGTGAGACCTTGTCTCCAAAAAAAAAAAAAAAAAAAAAAAAAAAAAAGCTTGATGTCAGCTTGGACTGCAAAGCAAGGCCCTGTCTCAAACAAACACACAACAAAACCCACCATTATATGGATAACACATTTGGTTGGTTGTCTTTAGGCCTGGTCATTCTACATGGTTTCTACCATGCTCTTGACTTTTCACATTTTATAAAATTACCGAGAGTACCAATTATGAGGGTACTTTTACTAGACAGGAATATCCAGAGAGAATATTTAAAGGAAGATATAAGGCATATTGCAAAGTTTTGATGTTTACAGCTGTTAAAGTCACACACAAAAAGACAGATCAATAGAAGGTAAAGAGTAGCATGTCTAACCTTTCAGCCAAAGATAGAGTATTCTACAAGTGTCGTGGACTAATAAGCTAGACATCAAGGAAGGAAAGTTAAAACATTTTTGTGTACATCATGCTAAATTCTAGATGATTCAAGATTTAAATGTAAACATTAAGAACATAATACATATTAGAAGGTAATGGGGAAGTGTTAATTGCATTGTTTCCTGCTGTTCTGTGAAAGTAGTTTTGAAACAAATGTTTTTATATGATACTGAAATTAATCCTGTGCTGTCAGCGACTGCTTCCCAGTATTCCTCAGGTCTGCACAGAGGCACATTGATGTTAGTCTGAGTAGCTGATTGTATCTCAAATCCAGCGTCTAGTGGTCCTTTTTTTCAGCAGTTTGTTGCAGTGCTACTATGATTTTTGTCAACTCATTTCCAAAGAACTCCTGGCTTTTGGCTTTTAATCTAGTCATGATATGTTATGACAAGAAAATAATAGAATATGTAGATTTATTGTATTTATAGTTTTGAATGTGGCTATGAGAATAGACAAACTACAGTAAGTATTGGAGGTGAAAAGAAAAGTGTTTTTGATTATTGTATTCTCTTAATGCAGAGGAGATTGTGTAGTCCTATTAATTTTGGCAAGTAGTGCTAAGTTGTTGGATTTATCAGTTTTACTTTGAAAACAACAGTTGTAGCCCGAAGTGTACGATTTTAGCAGGTATGGAGGCTCCTGGCTATAATCCCAGCTATTCAAGAGGCTGAGGCTGGAGGACCAAAGCCACCCTGGACAACTTTGCAAGACCCTGCTTCAAAATAAAAATGGCTGGGCACAGTGGCACTTGCCTGCAACCCCAGCTGAGGCTGAGGCTGGAGTTGTCTCAGGTTTGAGGCCAGCCTGGGTAACTTAGCAAGACTGTCACAAAGTAAAAAAGACTGGGCTTGCAGCTCAGTGGTATAGAATCATTGCTTAGTGTGCTTGAGGTTCTGAGCTCAGTCTCCAGTAAAAGTAAAAAAAAAAATTAAGAAAAAACTAGACATGTTGGTGTAGTCCTGTAATCTCAGAACTTGGGAGGCTAAGGCAGGATCACTGTGATTTTAAGGCCAGCCTGGACTAGTAGTGAATTCAAGGCTAGCCTGAACTACATAGTGAAAGTCTGTTGCAAAAAACCAAGAAGGCGGGAGTGGAGGGGTGAAGATTTTATTGTTTTTCAAAAAAAGACTCAATCTTTTTTCTTTCTTCTCCCAGTATTCATGTGATTGAGCGGCGTGCACTTCCTGAGTTTTTCAACGGAAAAAATAAATCCAAGACTCCAGAAATGTAAGCCACATGCTTTAGATAACTTCTTTGTGTGTTCATGGCAGGTGTTTTTGAAGCACACTTTGGCATTTGCTATAGCCAGAATTTGTAAGTTTATAAATACTTTGATCCATCCAGAATGTTGTTTATATCTTATTTGCACAGCATTCTTTACTTCAAAGGAAATTGTATGTTTTTCTTCCTTAATCTTAAATTATATTCACATCCCCTTGCTTACAGTTAAAGACCGAATTAAGTAAAGGATATTTTCCCAACAGCTCCTGACTTGTGTATGTATGTAAGCTTTCATCTTTTCCACATCACCTATTGGCCTAAACTTCAAGAAGTATAAATCTCCATCTGTCGTACTATTAACACCATTTAATGTGTTTTCTTTTTGGTACTGACTTCCTACGTGTGACTGGACAAATAGATGTGTCATGCTGAAGCCATTAAGGAGGGATTGACATGTAATTTTCCACAAGAAACATATAACAATTTAATGATAAGTATTTTCTGGTATTAGTTTATTCGTGGTACTTTCAAACTCTAGTTTCTAATGTCAGAGATCATGTCGGTGTTCATTTTAAGAGCTACCTAAAAACCAGAATCACAGATTTGGCATAAGAAACATTTTTTTCTGCCTACAGAAATGTGATACATTTTTCCAGCTAATTTGCCTTGTATCAACATTTGTAATATTTAGGCTTTTGTAGTCTTCTCTTCAAAAGCATAATTTATATTGCAGCCCATTTCACTTTGTTAATTCAACTTGTGTATCCTCCGGGCTTTCTCAGGAGCCTGTCTGAGCAGTGTGTGCTTTCTGCTCTTGTGGAGCTGACCTTGGGCTTCCAGGCTTGTGTTTTTACTCTTGTGCCAAGTTTAGGTCTCAAGTCAGTTTTAAAGTATTATGTGGCAAAAATGCCTGGGTAAGCTGCAATCTGCTGTGACCAGGTCTCAATTTTTCTTTCTTTTTAAATTATGTTCTAGTTTTGCTCCAATTTTGGCCTCATGTATTCTACTTGGCACCTCACTAGGTCTCTTTCAAAGAGAGACCTGCCACAGAAAGATTTCCATAGACGTAGTCAGAGCCCAGTACACATGTGGCTCTCCAGGAAGACTGTAGCAAGGAGAGGGAATTTGAGACACAGATGACGCAGTCCTGCATGCCGAGAGAGCCGGTCAACTCTGCTTCAGTTTTCTCATCTGTCACTGGGGTTGTAACCCTGCCTCTGGACAGATGTGGAGGATAGATGGAGTCCCTGTGTGCATGGTGCTCACAGCAGTGCTTGGCGTGCAGAAAAGGGGGAGTACACAGTAGTGAGGGAGATAGCTGTGGATTCTGCGGTGAGTCTGCATTTATCCATTCGCCTCTGTGAGCAGGTTCTTAGGTCACTTCCCATTAATGTCTTCGTATTACTCTACTTTGTCGTTACACATTCACAAGCAGTTATTTTGTCTATGAGATAATGTATTAGTATAATTATGCAATACAAATTTGTAACCAGGAGGTAAAGTAGATCTTTAAAAATAGGAGCTTTTTTTTTTTTTTTTTTTTTTTTTTTTTTTTTTTTTTTTTTTTTTTTTTTTTTTTTTTTTTTTTTTTTTTTTTTGTATTGTATTGTATTATAAAAAAATAGATAGCTGGTCATGGTGGTGCTGCATTATCCCAGACATTGGAGGCTGAGGCAGGAGGATTACCGTGAATTTGAGTCCAGCCTGGACTATATAGTGAGCTCAAGGCCATCCTGAACTGCATAGCAAGACCCTGTCTCAAAAGACCAGATAGATACATAGATACATAGACAGACAGACAGACTTCCCCACCCTAGATGACCAGCATGGACGTAATGCTTCTGTCAGAAAACTTATTTCCACCAAAAAGAAATGTGCAGATACTGCCCAAGAGTTGTCTGTTGTCTTACTGAACTCCTCCCCTCTCTGCCTTACACATCTGGTGGGGAGGAATTTGAGGCAGGGACGTCCCTATCTCCTTTGGAGCTAGCTTGGTTAAACCTTTTCCTTTTGTCGGAATGCTTCCCTCCTTATCTTACCCCATGTTGACAGAGTGACTGTTTGGTTGGCTTGCTGTCTAAACTTTCTTGTGTATGGTTGCGAGGAGTGTGAATTGTAATTGTTACTGTTTCTGAAAGGGTGCATATCTACCTGAGTTTTATTTTTGCTTTTTAGATACCTGGCATATCGAAACTTTATGATCGACACGTATCGCCTGAACCCCCAAGAGTATTTGACCAGCACTGCTTGTCGGAGGAACTTGACTGGAGATGTGTGCGCCGTGATGAGGTAGTGTCGTGCCTGTTTTCGGAGCGCTTGCTGCCCGTGCTGCTCGTGCATCGCCATGTAATACTGGACCGATGAAACTGCATGTTTTCTTGCTTAGAAAGTCACCTAAGTCTCATAAACTATTATTTAGGGGTCCAGCGTTTTTAATACTCATTTTAGTTTTCTAAATTTTACAGTTCAGTCATAAAATGACCAGAGATGGGGAGTGGTGGGAAGCAGGTGAACTCTGTCCTAGACCTGTCTAAAGAAAAAACTGAAACGCAGCTGGGCTGCTGCACTTCCGATCTGTGTGAGTTCATTTACCATGGATCTAAGGGAACATTGGTTCTCTCATTTCTACAATTAAAATAATAGACATTTTCCTAGGTTTTGAGGTTCTGGATTACCACATCTAAAAGATGTGTTAAAATTACCCCTCATCCCTCAAACCAAATTTGTCAGATGTTTTGGTGATTTGCAACCTGCAGATGATACCTTGTTTCTTTCTCTCTTCTCTTTTTTAAATAATATGACAATTGTAGAGCAGAGATTGAGACTCTAGATTTTAATTTTCAGAGCTTTATTTTTAGGGTTCACGCCTTTCTAGAGCAGTGGGGACTCGTTAATTACCAAGTTGATCCGGAAAGTCGGCCCATGGCCATGGGACCTCCTCCTACTCCTCATTTCAATGTGTTAGCTGACACCCCCTCGGGGCTTGTGCCTCTGCATCTTCGATCACCTCAGGTACTTAGTGTTCACTTTTCTTCTGGCCTTATGGTAACAGTCTCTTTATAGCTTTCTTCTCAAGAGAAACCATCACTGTTATACAATAGCTGTGTTCGTGTTACTTAGCTGATGTGTGTGTGTTTGTAAAAATGTTTGAGTCCAGACTGGGGCTATAGTTCCATTGTGGAATGCTTACCTAGATTAGACATGAGTCTAGATTAGACTCCCCTGTACCACTAAATAAATGAGAGAGTGAATGATTGATTTCATAAAAATATGAAGTGTTTAAGGTAATGTTGTTCAACCAGTTTAAGATTCTATACCATATCAAGTTACAGATTTACATTCATAGTCTTAACCTTTTTATTCTTCTCCCATAAAGACTAATAAGCGAGGGAAAACACAAAGAAGTCATGATCTTCAATGCTCAGCCTCCTAAGTACAAGGATGACAGGTGTGCACCAGCACCTTCATCTTTAAACACATGTTAAAATTATAATTATACCAAATAAATTAATAAGTAACACTGAGTTGGGATAACATGAACCTAAGCTGTGAATTTCCTTTCACTGTGAAATAGTAAATCATATTGAAGAAAAATTTTTATTCTCTACGATTCAAATTGGCACCAAAATAATGTTTCTTGTGGTCTGAATTTTGTTTGTAGTACAGTACGATAGTATATTTATTATTAATTTTTTGGTTAGAAAATACAGCAGGACTGATGTGTCAGCATTAAGTAACTTTTAAGAAACTTCTATTCACTTGAGTTTGAACAGATTAATGGAATCATTTATCTTTGTCTGACTCATACATAGGTCCCTGCTGCTCAGCAGATGTTAAACTTTCCTGAGAAGAACAAGGAAAAACCAATTGATTTGCAGAACTTTGGTCTTCGTACTGACATTTACTCCAAGAAAACATTAGCAAAGGTAAGGATTTTTTTCAGAACACTTGGATTAATAGGTACATTAGCCCACTTAATTTGTCCTACTTCTGAGGTGAATCATTTTCCATAAGAAATAGAATTTACTCCCTATGTGGGAAGGAATGAGCTTTCTCCTGAAAACTGATAGCATTTTATGTTTTTTGGTCTGCAGGGGGTGTTTTGAGACAGGGTTTTGCTGTGCAGTTGGTTTTTTTGTTTGTTTTTTGAGGCAGGATCTTACATTGTAGTTCAGACTGGCCTTGAGCTCACTATGTAGCCCAGGCAGGCTTTTAATTGGTGACAATCCTCCTGCCTCAGTTTCCCAAGTGCTGGTTACAGGTGTGCACCACTGTGCTCAGCTAACTTGATAGCCTGGGCTACATAGTGGTTCTAGGCCAGCCTGAATTACATAGAACAGTAAAGGGGAGAGGGAGGAAAAGGAAAGAAGATGAAAAAAGGTAAGATGTATTATGTACATGCACCAAGTCCACACGAGGAAGTACTATGCATATATGCTGATTAAAAAGTGTTTCAAATGAGATAATGTGGACTTGTTTGGATTGGAATTAGAACCTGCCAAAGTCTTGTATATGTAGACTATCTTGTGTTGGAGTCTGGGAAATAGTTGTTTTTTTTCAAATTATACTAAATATTGGTATTACGTTTATAATGTTACAGCTAATTTATGGTATGAATTAAAATACTGTATTTTGTTGGCTTTCTAAGGTATTTATGAATAACAAAATAACATAGCCAAGTAGTTCATAAGTCTATTGTTGAAAGTAAGAAATCTTTAAAATATGCTAGCTCTGCTTTGGTCAGTGAAGTTCTTAGGTGTTTTATTTATTGAGGGCTTATGTGGTCCCTCAGTAGTTTGCATAAAGTAGACCCCTGAGTTTGACTGATAGTTCTGCTGTATTCCGTCCATACTTATCCTTGACAGGCAAATAATTTCTCATTTTGCTTCCATAGAGTAAAGGTGCTAGCGCTGGAAGAGAGTGGACAGAACAGGAGACCCTTCTCCTCCTGGAGGTGAGCAGATTAACGGTGGAGCCTTTATTCACACAGGAAATGTGTGTGACGATTCTTGGACTATCACTTTTTTCTATGTGTGGTGTTCGCTTTAGGGAATGTCTAGTTGATATTAAGGTTGAAATGTTTCCATGTACTTTTAGATAGCCCTCTGCCTTGGTAGCATATCATAACTTTCCTTTAGTGTACTTCCCATTTTACAAAACCAAATATTAAAGACATATATTTTGACATTTCAGTGATTTTTTTTATTTTTTGAGTAGTTCAAGTTGGTCTTGAACTTACTATGCAGCCCATACTGACCTGAAACTCACAGCAGTCCAAATCCTGCCTCAGCCTCCTGAGTGCTGGGGTTACAGATGCAATCCACCATGCGCAGCTTATTTTGGTTTATTAAAATGATTAACTTTCATAATTTAACAGGGAAATGTTTAAGTGATTTGGCTTCTTTTGTTGTTGCAAGGGTGTGGCAGTGAGTTTGGTCTCGGCTCTCACTGCTTTGATTTGTGCTGTAATGCCATCACTGTTCTGTACCACGAGAAAGTGCTAACAGAATAAGGAAAGCAGTGACGGCCTCACAGCTCTCTAGTAAAAATCTGGTGTCTAAGGGTCCCCAACTACATTTGAGATTCAGTAAGCCTGATGATGTCTTGGTTTATTTCTTTTCATTTCATTTACATATTTATTTTTTATTTGACATCTTGATTTCTTTGTAGTGCTTTGTTTGGACTCCTCAAGATGTTCCAGCAACTTGGGTTCGGTTAAGAGTTTTCACGTCAAATTAATGTAGTTTTATTTCTTTTCTTTTTAGAGGGGTGGGTTCCAGGGTTGAACTTGGGTCCTTGTGCTTGCGAGGCAGGCTGTGGAATCACTGAGCTAAGTCCCTGGCCCCTTTATTTCTTTTTTTGTGCCCCTTTCCCATTTGTGTTTGTTTTTTCTCATGTATAGTCTGTCTGTCTGCCTCCCACCCCATATGATCAAGATTAAAGAGTTTTTTATAAAGTTTTTGCTATTTTAATTTATTTTCATTTTCGTGTTGAGCACGAGTGTTATGCAGAGAGCTTCTTTCCTGCCCGCCTTGTTTATTTCAGTGCTCTTGTCTAGGTACATTTGCCATGGATGTTAATTTAAATGAACAATGTTGTCACAACTTGTGCAGGAGTGTTGCTTGTTTCTTTGTTGCTGTTTTGGAATCTTTGGGCTTTGGAGAGAAATTTTATTGTACATCAGCAACTGGAAATAACAGTTCTTTGTCTTGCTGCATACTGACGCTCAAAATTTTCTTCTCTTCTATGTTCAGGATTAGTGGATAATGAATACATAATGAGGCGAGGGTGGTGGAGCGCTGTTTACCCTGAACATATCCCAGAAATCTGCAGTACCCTTGAACAATAGTGTTTCCTTTCCTGCAGCTGGAACCTGTGCTGTGGTTCATTTTTGTCTTAAACAAACAGTTGAGTCAATACACATTATCTGCTCCTACACAAAGAGAGATAAAACCTTCCTAACAGCCTTGTTTACCATCAGTGCCTTCCACTTACATGGTTTCTATAGAGTATTAATAGCTTAGGAACATAAAATCCAGGGAAAATTTTTAAATTGATTGATTACCAAAAGCAAATTTAAATTTCTCCATATTAAGTCTGGTAAATTCATTGGGATTTTTTTTCCCCACATAGCATCATGCCATTTTGCTAGACAGATATGTAGCACACAGGCAGCATTTCAGGTATTTGTGATTATCCTTGAGAACATCCATTTTTATTTTTAAAATCTTAATTTAATAAAGGCTTTCTATCAAAGCACAGTTCATGAGTGAGTACTGAATATCTCTGGTCATGTTCACTTCATTGTCTCGGCATAACTATTGGAGGATAGCTGGGTGTGGGAACGCATGCCTATAATCCCAGCATTCTGGGTGCTTGAGGCAGGAAGATTGCCCCAGCCTGGGCACCTTAGTAACTTAGTGAGACCTTTTCTCAGAATGGAAATGGACTGGACAAGGCCCTGGATTCAATGCCCAGTATCACCCCCTCCACATGTCCCCAACTGACTGCTGTGCTACCTTTGAATATCATAGAAGCCAAATGTTTTGCTTTGCTTTGTCTTTTTTGTGGGGTGGTTCTGGGGATCAAACTCGGGTCCTTGCGCTTACAAGGCAGGCAGTGGAACCACTGAGCTAAATCCCTGGGCTGCTTTTTTTTGTTTTAGTACCTGAAATCAAACTCCGGCCCTTGCACTTGCAAGGCAGGTGGCAAAACCACTGAGCTAAAACCCCAACCCCCAAATGCTTTTCTTGGTTACTTAAGTGCAGTATTGAAGATTAACATAGTTTGGATGTAATCCCACAACTGAGAAATTAATACTCTTTAAGAGTGACATAGATAAAATATAAAACTTGAATGCAGCGTCCCCAGTCTCACGATTTGAGGGGTCTCCAGAGCATGGGGTACATAAGAGAGGAGTTCCTGTTCATATGGACTACGTGGATGAGACGGACACTTCTGGCAGTGTTACGGTTGTCCAGTTGTTCCTGGGTATGGCATGCCCTGTGTGTAGGATACTGCCTAGGAAGAGTGTTGTGGTGTCTGAGTATTGCTGAAATTTAGAGGAGGGAGAGTGTATGGTACAAGAAGCAGGCAGAGAGCTAATTATATTTGGTCATAATGCTATTTTAGATAGAAAAGAAGCAGTGTTTTGTGTGAAATGCATTTCCTTCTAGCAATGGGGAAGAGAATGAATTTAAGTAGAGAGGATAGGCAACGTCTAAGAATCCAAGCACGTGATGATGATCATCCTTCACAGTGGCAGAGGCAGGAAGGGGTTTCATGATGTTTAACCAGCCTTTGCTGTGTGGCCCTCTTCCTTACCTCCTTCCCAGCCACTCTGTCCCCGTGTTCTCCTGAAAACATCTCGCTAGGTTGCTTCCTATTGCCACAGTCAGTGGCCAGGCTGTATACCATGTACTATTTCTCAGCTCTGTGCTTTTCCAGATGCTAACTGTTGCTTTGATTTTGCATTCCAAAGAGATTCTCAACTCCAGATTTATTGTAGGGGGAAAAAACAGAAAAACTGAGCGTAATTTTTTGTTTTTGGTACTGTGGATTGAACTCAGGACCTTGTGCTTGCAAGGCAGGCAGTGGCACCACTGAGCTAAATCCCTGGCTGAACTTAGTTTTGTTGGGAAATGAGTAAAGAAAAAAACTATAACAAGTTTGTTGGGAAAAGTTAAGTTGGAGGGAGCCCTACTTATAATGAGGAATTTAAGGCAGCTCCTATAGATATATTTCTGGCTCCAAATGATCCTGATGAGATAGTTACATTTTTCTTTTTCACAATCTAGGTTTTTCTGCTAAGTATTTCACTCTAAAACTACCTCAATTACCCTCATTTTTTCAAAGTTAATTAACTATTAAGACAAGCTACAGGATTGGTTTTGGAATTCTCTAGCATTACATTAAGGATAAGCCCAGGTTACACTCACTGAAGCAAATTAACATGGAGAATACGATTATCACAGAGAACAGGTCTTTATAGCACAATAGGCTGTAGAGCTACATTTGTATGTTGCAGCTCTGTTGACAAGGTAGACCCCATCATTAGGGTGCACCCAGAGTGCGTAAGGACTTGAGTTCAACCCCGAGCTACTGGCAAAAAAAGAAAAAGGGTGTGCATGCTCTAGAGAGAATGGCTTGAGAGCACTAAAGGTCTTTTTCCCTCCAGTTAACTTTTGACTTTCTTAACACCACATATTTTGGTTTTCTTCCCATTATTCCCTCCTCCATGGGGATTCATTTACTGTTTTATTGGAGTCTTTCAGAATTAGTGTGAGAAAAGTTACTGATTTTAAAACTAGAATCGGGGTGCAGTGGCACATAGGCAGGAAGATTGCAAGTTGGAGACCAGTCTTGGCACCTTAGTGACTCAGCAAGCCAGTATCTCAGAATTTAAACATATGAAAATGGACTGGGGTTGTAGCTTACCCAAAGTTGCATTACTCCCCTCCCCAAAGAACTGCTGTAGATGTTTATAATCTGCTTAAAGTTTGTACCCAAAAAAATCCCTGTTTAAGCTGGGTGTGGTGGTGCACACCTATAATCCCAGCACTTGGGAGGCTGAGGCAGGAGGATCGCTGTGAGTTTGAGACCAGCCTGGGCTACATAGTGAGTTCCGGGTCAGTCTCAACTATATAGTGAGACCCTGTCTCAAAAAACCAAACCAAAACAAAAAAATCCCTGCTTAGAGTTTGATGTGCGTTGCAGTCAACCTGTAGTTCAGCTTGAAAATAATCTTTTAATACTCTTAATTTGTAATGAATTAAACCAATAAAGTTCTTCCTTTATAAGGTCTTTGAGTTCTATCCCTCTTTGAGTTTCTTTCCCTCTGACATATTGATTCTGTAATATATATATGTATTTCATCGTTATGCTGATTTAAATATTTTCTAATTTAAAATTATTCATTGCTATTAGGTACAGAAACAACTTGATTTTCAGTTGCTTTTCTGTTGTGTGACTTTGCTCAAGTTTTTAGTTTTAGCACCTCTTTTTGTGGCTTCTTTAGAATTTTTATGGGAATATTTAATGTCTATACTAGTAAAAGACAGTTTTACTTCTTCCTTTATAATATGCAGGCCCATTGTTTACTTTTCCTGTTTGAGAATTGTTTGAGCCAGCGTCTTTTCATACAGCCCAATCTGGCCTGTAACTTGTGATCTTCCTGCCTCAGCCTCTCTAGTCCTGGGATTACAGGCCTGAGCACCACGTGAGGCTTTCCTACCCTTTTTGAATGTACAGCATGACTTATCAGTCAGCTCTGTCTTCACCGAGGTGTAGCGCCATAAACCCACAACCTAAAGGAAGAGAGGTGTAGTTTAGCATCTGGGTTCTGGCGTTTCAGTCCTTGAGCGAGCTGTGAGGGACCTGAAGGAGCAAAGCTGCTTCCTTCGTGGCAGGTGGGGAGCAGAGCCAGGGAACTGCAGTGCAGAGGGGAGGGCAGGGACTACACAGCTGCCTGACCAGACGGAGCACATTGTCCCCAGTGTGCCTCGGTGCACCGGAATCGACATAATCAGGATTCTGGCCGTGACAGCCCCTGGAAAAGCTGTCACATGCTTCTGCTTTCATTACACCTTACTTTCTTGTTACCTGTTTTGTTTTGTTCTCTGTTTTAGGCCCTGGAGATGTACAAGGATGATTGGAACAAAGTGTCAGAACACGTTGGAAGCCGCACACAGGATGAGTGCATCCTGCACTTTCTGAGGCTTCCCATCGAGGACCCATACCTCGAGAATTCAGACGCTTCCCTCGGGCCGCTGGCCTACCAGCCCGTCCCGTTCAGTCAGTCGGGAAACCCGGTCATGAGCACTGTGGCTTTTTTGGCCTCTGTGGTGGACCCTCGTGTAGCATCTGCTGCAGCTAAGGCAGCTCTGGGTATGGACTCCTCTGCGCCACCTCTCCAACACAGAAATTGAATTGGCCTCTGACTTAAATATCATCAGTGATTGCATTCTTGTGTAAATAACCAAAAACATCAGGCATTGTGCCTTAAAAACAGCACTTGCTTTATCAAAAGTATAACAGTTTTAAAGTAAAGCACTTAAATTTAGTAGCTTATAAATGAAGGAGATATTTTATTAAGAATTGGAGGAGGGCCCAGTGTTTAGCTTAGTGGTGCCACCGCCTGCCTTGCAGTCACAAGGTCCCGAGTTTGAGCCCCAGTACCAAAGAAAAAGAATTGAAGAAGCATTGAGAGTGTTGGTGCACATCTGTAATCCCAATACTCAGGAGGCTGAGGCAGGAGGATTGCAATGAGTTCAAGGCCAAAAAAAAAAAGAAAAATTGATCAACACCAAGCATGGTGGTACAGGGCTGTAATTGCAGCACTCTGAGAAACTGATTAGGAGGACCACAAGTTCCAGGCCAGCCTGGGCATCTCAGCAAGACCCTGTCTCAAAATTTAAAAAAGACTTGGGAATTTAGGGTTAGGAATTTATCTCCATGTGAAAGTTCCTGGTATAGGAGGGGAAATAAAAAAGGAGGAACAGAAGTGTATTTTGTGGTACATTTGTGATTAATTTGGAATTTCATATAATTGAGAGAAGAAATTATTTACTGTTCTTGGATTATGTTACACAGATTTTCGCCATAGAATTTTGTTTTTAGACAGGAACTCACTACGTAGCCCAGGCTGGCCTGGAACTTGCAGGAGTCATCCTACCTGTCTCCCAGGAGCCTGGATTACAGGAGTGCATCTCCATGACTGGCTTCACCATACGATTCTTTTCTGGTTTTCTGGTTGTTTAATGCTCATTGGTTTTTGTCAGTCTAGCCACTGATAATTACTGATTAATAAAGAAATTTTTATGTATAGTAAAGTACTGTGACAGGTTGAATGAAATCCTGGAGTCAGAAGTTTTGCCTCTGCTTTTCTTACTTTGCCCCCCTCATGTTTTGCTCCACTGGGGACTCAGCCCCAAACAGATCACTATGCCCCAGAGAATATTACTTTAGATAGTCTAGGGCTCGTCCACTAAAGGGAGCATTTACACAAAGTGAAGGCACTTTTCCACTGTTACTCTTAACAGAGGAGTTTTCTCGAGTCCGGGAAGAGGTACCACTGGAGTTGGTTGAAGCGCACGTCAAGAAAGTGCAAGAAGCCGCACGAGCCTCTGGGAAGGTGGATCCCACATATGGTTTGGAGAGCAGCTGCATCGCAGGCACTGGGCCTGATGAGCCCGAGAAACTGGGTGAGTCCCTGCTGCCCACAGCCAGAGCTCACTGTTGTGTGTGCCCTGATGGCGTAGATAGCGGGCTGGCTTCCCTTAGGTGTACCCAGAGGCAGGGAGAACCAGGCTCTTGAGTCTATTACATGGGTTTTTGGCTCTTCGTACTTTTTTTTTTTGGTACCAAAGATCAAACTCAGGACCTTGCACTTGTGAGGTAGGTGGCAGCACCACTGAGCTAAATCCCCAGCCTACTTGGTACTTTTTAAAATGGTAGCTAGGACTGAAAAAAAAAAGTCAGGACTGGTAACAGTAATAGGAAATATTTGATGGCTATAGGTCTAGGTTTTGAACATTGAGAGATAAAAATACAGCTATGTTTATGTGTTAATTTTTTGAAGTTAAATTCGTAAAACAAAATTCTCCATTTTATTAACCATTTAAGTTTCTAATCTATCAGCTTCTCATATATTCATAGTGCTGTACGTCTTTCACTATCACCTAATTCTAGAACATTTTTCTTCATTCTGAAAAGAAATTTCAAACTCCTTAAGGGACTTCTCATTCCTCTTCTGTTTCCGCCCTGGTAACTACCAGCCATCATCTGTCCGTAGACTTACCCGTTCACAGTATTTCTAACAAAGGGAATCACAACCGTATGGCCTTTTCTTTCTGGCTTCTGTTACTTAGCCTGTTTTGAAGGTTTGTGTAGGCTGAATCAGTATTCATTCTTTTTTGTGCTGCTTGATACTCCTTTGGGTGGATATACTGCTATTTTTTATTTTGGTTTTGGTACCAGGGATTGAACTCAGGATCTTGTGCTTACAAGAGGCAAGCACGGTGCCACTGAGCTACATTCCCGGGCTGGGTGGATATACTAAAGTTTATTTATCTATCATTTGGTGGACATTTGTGCTGTTGGTATTTTTATACTATTGAAAAAATAGTGATAAGCCGGGCATGATGGCTCACTCCTGTAATCCCAGCACTCAGGAGGCTGAGACAAGAGGATTGCTGTGAGTTCAAGACCAGCCTGGGCTACATAGTGAGTTCCAGGTCAGTCTCAATTACATAGTGAGACCCTGTCTCAAAAAACCAAAAAAAGAAAATAATAATAATAATAATAATAATAATAATAATAATAATAATAATAATAGTGATAATGGATATTTATTTGCAATCTTTTTATGAAGGAAGATTTTTCACTTGAATATCTACTTAGGAGTGCAAATTTTCAAATTATTTCTTTTTTTTTCTTTTCTTTTCTTTTTTTTTTTTTTTTTTTTTTTTTTTTTTTTTTT